TCCGGGTACGCTGCCCCCGGCGCACAGTTGTTGCACCGAGACAAGTACTTGCCCGAGTCGGCGCGCAGAGCGATCTTGCCGTTGCCCGTGTTGACGACGGTCCACTGCGCCCACGGCGACGAGGCGGGCGTCTTGACGTGCACAAACGCCGAGTCCTTGTAGGCGCCGTTCGAGACACAGCTGTCGCAGCGACCAATGTAGTTGCCGGTGTCCGACCGGAGCGAGATGACGTCGCCGTCCTTGAAGCAGCACTGATCGGCAACAGCGAGGGAGCCCGCGACGGTGGCGAGAAGAAAGAGACGTTCGAGGTGCAGCATCTTGAGACGAGTCAAGAGAGAAGTACGCTAGTGCCTTGTTGGGTACTAGGTGGTGCGTTTGGAAATGACCTCTCGGTGGCGTCGCGTGAGCGCGGTCTCCGCCTCTTTCGCAGCCGGCAGTAGAGAGCGCTCGGCGCCGGCCCCGTACATATGTTGCGCCGTCGTCAACGATGCAATGTGGTCAACGAATCGTTGTTAGCAATCGATTGATGAACGATACGCGTGCTATGAATATGGAGGGCGCTAATCTCTTTGCTGCAGTCTCAACTGAGGATGAAGTCGCGAGCAAGGAGAAAGTGACGAGAAGCGCAGTGTCAAAGTGCGTTCGCTCGTTCGCTCTCTGCGGTGTATTTCTGATCGTGACAGCATGTGGGATTCTCCGTTACTACATGCGTCTGGTACCACGCGCGGCGTGGAGGCCGATCGTTGGCATAATTTAGTATTGGGATTTGGATCGAGAGTGATCGGCAGATAGTGATAGGAAGACACATCTGCTTGGCGTAGGATGTAGCTCGCTATAAAAGCCGTAGGAGCCCGACACATCGCTGGCTCGAAGCGGCCCCACAATGCCTTGTGTTAGCCTCTACTTTACTCGACCACACTCTCGACCACATACCACAAAGACAGATAATCGCACTCTTGCAGCAGTTTTTGCAAGACATGTACAGTAGTAGACCGACATTATTTGACGGTGCCGTACCTTTGCTCTAGGCCAGCGCACTACGACGCTCGTACATTTGATGTCAGTTCTTCATTGATCGAGCCGAGATCGAGGCGTCTCGGCCTAGTCCCCGTCACACCAGCGCGCTCTTCTTGTGGCTTGTACGAAAATGATGTGCAGGGGAAGTTCTCGTTGCCTTTACGCAGTGCGCTGTGGTCTTCAACTCTGGCGCTGACGAGTCGTTGGCTCCCCGAGGGCTTACGGAGCCCCATTAATAACTCTCCCTTTCCCCCGAGCAACCCCACCGACACGTAACAACTCTGCTTCCTCAACTACCCCTTCCCCGAAATAACACGTTAGGAGTCCCAGGAATATTATTACTACGACACATGTGGCGTGTCGCAATGGTTTTAGCGGGCAATTAAGCCAGTTAATCCCAAGTTGACAAGCTGCGAAATGGCTAGCTACCAAAGTCTCCTGGAACAACGACTGGCCATCTCGTGTTGGGCAGTGAGATTGGTGCGTCTGACAAACGTCGACCTGCCTCCCACGTCGATATACTAGTACCCACAGGCAAGCATACCATAGACGTCATTCTCTTGAGCTCGCATCGTTCTAGCCATATTTGGTGTGCGAAACTTGAAAGTTTTTGTTGTCAACGTGTAACTTTGATTCGTTTAACATAGAACCGTGTCTGCTACCACTGGTCTACTACCGACACCTTGAAACTCAATAGACCGACGCCGACGTCGGTGAAGGCACCGGAGTCGTTGGCTTAGGCTTCGATGTCGTCGGGAACGGCGCTGTGGCAGGCGTTACGGTGATCGGCTTCGGGGTCACAGTAGTCGGCGCGGGCGTCGGAACTTGACAACGGTTGCTCGATAGCTTGCCGTTCGCCTCGATCGTCCATTGCACCCAGCTGCCATCACCGATGCTGGTAGCGTGCACCATCGCGGTATCGGGGTACGCGCCACCGACGCAGTTGTTGCAGCGCGCGAGGAACTTGCCCGAGTCGGCTTGGAGAGCAACCTTGCCGTTGCCCGCCTCCTTGCACGTCCACTGGGCCCACGGCGCAGTCGTCCAGTCATTGACGTGCACAAAAGGCTTCGTCCGGGTACGCTGCCCCCGGCGCACAGTTGTTGCACCGAGACAAGTACTTGCCCGAGTCGGC